TTTAAACAAACGTTGTTTTTCATCGGGTGCGATCCCCGACTACTTGACTTGAACGCGCATAAAATTTCCGCTTCATAAAAAATTGTAATATGAAAATTAACAACTATGGCTAACACCTCAAAATGCGTCCAATTAAAGTTTTGAAACCATATGTTTGCACGTCTGTATAATTATTCGAACTTACTAAAACAAGGTTTTAGATAAATAATTGGATTTTTGCGATTTTTGACTGTTGGTATCTTTGTACGTTCAGTTCGTTTCTTATAATTTTGTGAAAGAATGAAGCTCACAAAACATGTTAATGAGAATTAGTTTCAAATTTGGCTTTATTTCGGTTGCTCACTCAGCGGAAGCCTAGCAATTACCTAGCAATTACTTGAGCAAAACTTATTCCTAATCAATCGAGTCTTGATTTATAGTAAACTCATTTTTTTCCGCCACATCGATCTTACTTACAGATAAAAATTACCCCGGCAAGATCAAATGTCATAAGTTCGAATACATAAATACATTTTTCATTTTTTTTCTACTTTATAAGTTTTTAGGCTTAAATGGGATCAACTTATAATTTTTCAACTTTGTGAGCTGATTTTGCGTTTATTGAAAAAAAAAACACAATACACCCCTAAAAATCCAAAAACTTTAGAATTTTCTGAACTGAAAGTCCATCCAAATCGAATTGAATTGATTTTTAAGACCTAAATCGATCAAAAACTTCCAAGAAAGATTGATTTAAATCCTTTTAAAATGGGTTTAAGCGAGATTTGGATGGATTTAAGTGAGTTTCGGATGTATTCTAGGGAGTCCGAAAAACCATCCAAATTGATATAAATCGATTTTTTTAGACACCAAAATTGATCTAAACTTTTCAAAAAAGATCGATTCAAATCGATTTAAAACCACTTTAAGTTCATAAAATGTACAATGCTAATCATTTTCGATCAATTTAATATCGGTTTACAATCAATTCAAATCGCTCCAAAACCATTTTTGACAATGCGAGTACCGCTAAACAGAGATCGCTTACAGTTATACTTGTGCAGGCTTTTAACTATTTAAAACAAAATGACTTGATACCTGTTAAAAAACATGAAAGTGACAAGTTGGCTGTTTTGAGATTTTTTAAACATTTTTTTTTTCAAATTTACCTAAAAGACAATCAGGACCTCTATAAAATGTTTTTTTTTTAATCTTCAGCCCTTAAATTAGTTTGTTTGGTGAGTTAATGCTGGCTGTCTTCTCTTTAATCTCCAAGATATCCTTCTCGATGAGCAGTACTGATCGTTAGGATCTCCCTCCAGACATAATATATTGCTTTTGGCGTTGTAAATGTAGCTGGTAAACTCAAATTTTAAGTTTCAAAAGTGAGGCTGCTTTGCAGTCTATTTATCTCATTATCCGTTTATTTATAATGTAGTTGAAAAAAAATCTTAGTGTTCCAAAACAATTGTCAAATTTTCACGATCTTAGCAGCTATGATCTTAAGAGTACTCCCACAGAAATTTTTCAGTCTAAACCTATTTAAATAAACGTTCTTTTTCATCTGGTGTAAGCCACAACTACTTGAAGTGAACGCGCATAAATTTTCCGCTTCATGAAGAATTGTAATATGAATATTAGCATCTATGGCTAACATCTCAAAATGCGTTCCGTTAAAGTATTGAAACAATCTGTTCTCACATTTGTATGTTTATTCGCATTTTTTTAAGCAAATTGTGAGATAATTCAATGATTTTTGCAAAATTTTGACTATTGATATCTTTGTACGTTCAGTTCGTTTCTTGCCAATTTGTGAAAGTATGAAGCTCATAAAACATGTTAATGAGAATTAGTTTCAAATTTGGCTTTATTTCGGTTGCTCACTCAGCGGAAGCCTAGCAATTACCTAGCAATTACTTGAGCAAAACTTATTCCTAATCAATCGAGTCTTGATTTATAGTAAATTCAATTTTCTCCGCCACATCGATCTTACTTACAGATACAAATTACCCCGGCAAGATCAAATGTCATAAGTTCGAATACATTTTTCAATTTTTTCTATTTTATAAGTTTTTAGGCTTAAATGGGATCAACTTATAATTTTTCAACTTTGTGAGCTGATTTCGCGTTTTTTGAAAAAAACACAATCCCCCTCACTACCTCTAGAATTCTAATAAATGAAAAATTTACATTTTTCTGAAGTGAAAGTCCATCCAAATCGAATGAAATTCATTTTTAAGACCTAAATTGATCAAAATTTTCCAAAAAAAGATTGATTTAAATCCATTTAAAATGGATTTAAGCGAGATTTGGATGGATTTAAGTGAGTTTCGGATGTATTCTAGTTAGTCCAAAAACCCATCCAAATCGATATAAATCGATTTTTTAGACACCAAAATTGATCTAAATTTTTCAAAAAAGATCGATTTAAATCGATTTAAAACCACTTTAAGTTCGTAAAATGTACATTGCTAATCAATTTGGATCAATTTAAAACCGATTTAAAATCAATTTAAATCGATTCGAATCCATTTTTGTCAATGCGAGTACCGCTAAACATAGATCGCTCACTTCCAGTTATACTTGTGCAGGCTTTTAACTATTTAAAACAAATTGACTTGATACCTGTTAAAATACATGAAAGTCACAATTTGGCTGTTTGAGATTTTTTAAACATTTTTTTTCCAAATTTACCTAAAAGACAATCAGGACCTCTATAAACTGTTTTTCAACTTCAGCCCTTACATTAGTTTGTTTGGTGAGTTAATGCAGGCTGTCTTCTCTTTAATCTCCAAGATATCCTATGGCTAACATCTCAAAATGCGTTCCGTTAAAGTTTTGAAACAATCTGTTCTCACATCTCTATATTTATTCGCATTTTTTAATTCAAATTGTTAGATGATTCAATGATTTTTGCAAAATTTTGACTATTGGTATCTTTGTACGTTCAGTTCGTTTCTTGTCAATTTGTGAAAGTATGAAGCTCATAAAACATGTTAATGAGAATTAGTTTCAAAATCGGCTTTATTTTGGATGCTCAGCGGAAGCCTAGCAGTTACCTAGCAATAACTTGAACAAAATTTATACTTACTCATTCGAGTCTTGATTTATAGTAAATTTAATCCGCAAATCTGTAAACTTAAGCAGGTTTATGATCCGCAAATTTTCTCTGGCACACATGTGTTACAGATAACAACTACCCCGACAAGATCAAATGTCATAAGTTCGAATACATTTTCCATTTTTTTAACTTTATGTTCCAAATTTTTGGGCGTAAGAGAAATCGACTTATAATTTGTCGACTTGGTGATCTAACTTTGTGTTTTTTGAAGAAAAAAATTTAACCCACCTCTTTACCTCTAGAAACCCAAAAAGATAAAATTTTTAGAATTTCAGAACTTATATTTTCAAGTTTTTCATGACAACAATTTTGTAGTCAGCTCAACGAGAGTTTTCTCCAATTTTGTCGTCTCAATAAAATTCTTAAAATGTTTATTCCACTAAAACTGTGTGGCTGAACGTATATTTCTGAAATTGAACAGCATTCGATACAAAATTATACAAGACTGCTCGCATCAGGGCGAAATGATTGTTCCGACTGCCTTTTAAGGTTTATGGAGCAGTAATAACATTAAAAAAATCCAAAATTTGAAACTTTTTCTATAAAAATTATCACCCGCACGTCATATGAACTACGGTGCACATGCAATTGGAGTTATTTCTCGGTTTAAGGTAGCCGGTGGGCGTGCTACGCGCGCGTCGCCGCTTTACGGCGATAACCGGCTCTAATTTTCGTATAGAGTCCTACCTTCTGTTGGCAAGCTCGCAACACGTTGGCGCGACTGCGGTGGTCAATATTATTGGCTGTATTGTCTCTGGCTGAACTGTCTGCATACTTTTGGCTGAATTGTCTGAACTTCAAATCGGCTGAATTGTCTTTGGCCGAATTGTCTGGACGCGATAAAATACAAAAGAATAGATATCGCTCCTTACAACAAATCATTTATGGCAAATAAGCTTCTTTCAACCAGTTTGGAATGGTTTCTAAAACGGATTAAATCATCGATAATTTTCTTTTAAATATTTTTCACAATTTTTGGTTAGGTCGCTCTGTAAGTTGTTTCATTTTCCGTCAGCTATCTTGCAATGCCATGTTTATGTGGTATCTCAAGTTGACAAGTGAAGTTGTGCTATTTCCTATGCAACCAAATAAAGCTGTGCAATTCGCAAGGAAAAATTCATTTATAATGCAAGGTCTTTATTATTGTTCCGACTTTCGTAATGAAAGTAACGGAATATTTGTGCTGGGGGCGGGTTTTTCTCTTCAGTCAAAATTCGACTTTTTAACTAGCCATTTTTGACGGAATTTTTTAATATCATTCGAAAGCTTTTGTTTTTTGAACTTAAATTTGAAAAAATATTCCACCTGTGATCATTTTTCGTAAAGTTATGGGGGTTAAAGATCGCCATTTTGACCAATTTGGAACAACTAACGCCCAATATTTTTCGCACTGTTAACGCGTAAGCGGAGATTTAATCCGTCTTAGAAATAAAACTAAATTGGTTCAAAGAAGCTTATTTGCCATAATTGATTTGTTATTAGGAGTAAAATTTATCACTTCGTTGTGAATATGACATGTGGGGGGATGTTTTCACAAAAAACTCAATTTTTTTTAAATACATTTAAATTTTTCATGTTATCACTGCTCCATAGACTTTAAAAAGTAGTCGGAACATTCAGGGCTTCGCCCTGATACGACCAGTCTTGTGTTAACTTAACTATCACTACCGTGTTTTTTATAGCTCTTAGTTTTTGTAAATTTTTCAAATAAATTTATGTTAATTTATTATATACTTGCGACTAAAAAGAAGTTTGACGATGGGTTACAATATCAAAATTTCGAAATTGGAGATCGCTGGGTTTTCAAACGATTCAGTTTTTAGCTTTTATCATATAGTTGAAATGTTTGGAGTTGAAGTTCGAAACATTTAAGTTTTAAAAATTTTTCTGGCTTTTAATTTAACTCAATTGAACAAAACGATAACTTCTGTCTGACTGATAATGTAATCCATCGCTTAGCTTTGTTTGCAGTTCGCTTCACCAATCATTATATTTTTTATACTGATAGACTTCATCTCGAGTTCCATTGTTCCCTGATTGTTTGTTCAGGCTCTGTCCATGGGCACAGCTGTCTGGTCGCCTGCCATCAGGTCAGCCCCCTTCACTCTGGCTTCTTGACAGATGGCGAAGGGGTAACAGAGGAGAATCACCAGCAGACTGATTATTATATTCTCCCCTATCGCCTGAAATTCATCATACTCACAAGTTCGATTCCCACTAGGACCTTTTTTTGCAATGCTTCATTTCTTCTTTTTCTAAATGCAACATCCAAACTCTACCTCTCCTGACTTGAATATATTTTATTTGAGTGTGAAAATCAAGTAAGTGGGAAATGAGTTTTCGTCAATGTACATTTTCTTAAACGACCATCACAACTGTATTTTGCCAAAAAAACCAAACACGGGCTGGTCTGATTTTTACTTGCATTAAAAGGACGTTTTTTTATTCAAAAAATGAAAAATACAGTGCATGCAAACAATCGGGAAAACGTGGAAAAAATGCTGCCATACGCAATTCTTGGAAAAATCTGATCTACAAAAACATTTTTTTTTGGTGCGCGCACCCTCTTAAAATCATTCGAAGGGTTGAAAAAATGGTTGATTGATCGGACACGGATACCGTGATATATACTTAAGACAAATTTTTGTTGGGCAGAAGAATCGAATTCTAGTTGATGAACAGGCGATTGAAATCACCTACACATTTTTTCTTCGAACTTTGCAGGTCTTGAAAGTAATGTATTTGCTATTGTGAAATTATGTGATACAAGGAATTAATTACATCACTGCGGATACATGTGGCATCTACCACATCCAAGATAGGCACGAAGAAGCAGAGGGTATGAAGCAGACAGCTTTTGCCAAGGGTCTCCGCTATCTTTCCTGTAATAACAAAGCGAGAGTTTAAGCAGTGAGTTCATTCTCAAGTGCAACACGCGGCACCAATATGATACATTTTTTTACTTAAACGAGTTGCCGGTGAGAAAATAACTGAGCCCAGATTTCGAAACAAAAAAAATTCCAATTTAAAAAAAAAATTCAAATGAGTTTCTGTATGGCGCTCTGAATGTTACAAATTGCACTTTAGCGTTGTTGGTTTTTTTTTCAAATTGTTTTTTTTTCATTTTACACCACTAGACTTATAAGCTTATTTGCGATAATTGAGTTGTTAATAGGAGTAAAATCTATCACTTCGTTGTGAATATGACATGTGTCTGATAAGATATGCAAAAAATGCTCGCCTCGACTCAATTCGGAGTGATTTAATTTTCCGCTTACGCTTTAATAGGACGAAAAGAATCATTAGCTATCATTATCCAAAATGAACTATTGTAGAAAAGTTCCTTTTAAATTCAAGCCGCTATAGTTTTGAGGTTTAGAAATCAGTATTTTTCAAATGGTATAATAAAACTTCACTTGATATGACCAGTCAATTTTTTTGAAAGGGGAACATAAACATTAGGCAACATCCGAGAATATTTTGATTTTTTAAAACAGGAAAGTTGTTTTTTTTTGCGGAAAAACTTACATTTTCAGTTTTTCAAATTAAGTTTTTTTTTAATCCAGTTTGTTTTGTCGCTTTTCTCGCAAAATGATGAGACAACCGCAACGTGTACATGTCCCAACAAAGACTTCAATATTAAGAAACTCTAGCTGAGGATTCAAGTTTTGAAATTTTTCAAACCCAAAAAGATTTATCGCGGTTTTGCTATTGCGTCTAAAATTATCACTGCTGATTGGGATTTAAAAAGATATATATCTCTAGAAATAAGGCCACGTTTTGCGTTCTACTTCATTTCACTTGCAAAAAAGCACCTAAACTTTACCATCTCATAACGAGACCAGTAAGTTAAACAAGACCGCTCGTATCAGGGCAAAGCCCTGAATGTTCCGACTGCCTGTTAAGGTCTATGGAGCAGCAAGAACATGAAAAATTGAATGTAATAAAATAAAATTAAAATCATTTGTGAAAACATCCCTCCACACGCCATATTAAGTACAAAGGGATAAATTTTGCTTCTATTAACAAATCAATTATGACTTATAAGCTTCCTTGAATCAATTTGGAACGATTTCTAATACGGATTAAATCCCCGCTTACGCGTTAATAGCGCGAAATATATCGCGCGTCAATTGTCCCAAATTGGCCAAAATGGCAATCTTTAAACCCCCCTATCTTTACAAAAAATGATCACAGGTGAAATATTTTTTCAATTTTAAGCTCAGGACAACAATACCTTCTGAATGATGTAAAAAAAATTCCGTCAAAAATGGCTAGTTAAAAAGTGAAGAAAAAAAACCCAACCCGAGCCTAAATATTCTGTTACTATCGTATCGAAAGTCGGAACAACAAGTGTTACTGGAACTTTATCGAGTAACGATTAATATCGTGAAGTACAGTTGGGTTTCACAACAGTTGATACTGTGAGCATTAGACAATCCACGTCATATCACTGTTTAAGAGTAATTCAGGCTCCTGTCTAAAGTAAACACAATCTTAATCTATCAATGCTTTAGTAATTGAAACCTGCTCTATTTCGCCGCTCTGTGAAGCAAAAATCTAAAAGATTTGGAAATTTGCAAGATAAGCACTTCATTTTGGCAATGTTTGACTGCCTGCAAAAAAAAGTTGGCAACAATCGGCCTTAAAAATACATAGTTTCAAAAAGAACGTCTGAAAATTTCGTATAATTGTGCTTATGTGAAACATATACACAAAAGCATCATGATTTTTCAAGATTTAAACCTAGACTAAATTTAACTAAAAGTATCTATTTCAACCCTCAGACGCTGCTGCTGAAGCTTATTCAAACTTAGTTGAATTTTAATAAATTACATTAACTTAAATGAAATTAAAATAATACAGAAGTCTGTAAATCTCACCTACGATTTATCTTAGTCATCTGAATGATCTGAGGTTATTATTAATAATACCTTAAATGTATAAAAGTTACAATTAGGATTTACCAATTAGGTTTTACCCTATTTTTGTCCTTCTTTTTTCAAATGATTTGAAAAATGACACGGAATCAAAAAGACACTCTCTCCTTAAGTTGAGACTACAGTAATTTAAAACATTGAGCTAATAAGCTTAATATTTCAATCTTTTCCCATACTATTAGTATCTTGAATGGTTACCTTGCCATTAAAGTTTGTCAATTTTCTGACATATCAGTTTCTTTATTTCAATTGTTTTAATCAGTATCGTAAAAATGATACCAATGGTCTTCAACCACCATTTCTACAAACATTTTTTTTTGCGCTGAGAGACGTCTGAAAACAGAAGTTTTTTTGTCTAATGGCGATCCCCCAGACAGATTTTTTTTCAAGGTAATCAATCAAAAAAAAATTAAAAACGAAAGTGCACCAATACTCGGAGCAAGTTATTATGATTATTGTTTTAGCGCAACACAGTTTAGGTTTCACCTCTATTTCATAATTATTTTTGTACGTTTTACTTGCATAGCAAATTTTAAATGTTGTAGCCCAATCAAGAAATGCTATCTACTCATGCTATGTTATCTATTTCTTTGAAGTTGTTTTTGAGAGGGCAAAAATGTAGGAATCTTTGCTCATTTTGTGTTTTCTTGATTCACCACTTTTACTGAATTTTATATCGCAAGTGGTGCGCAACTCCACTTTGTCTCTGTGTCCCATACTTTGATTTTCTATTCATTTTTTTCTGTTTGCATTTTGACAAAATATCGGCGTTTTTATGTAAGATTGATTCTATTTTAATTTCGAGAATGTTTCAGATAATCAAAAATAGGTCAAAAATGAACTCAACAGAAGCATAAAATATTCCATACATTTTTCAATTTCGAAAGATGGTTTTCACAATGACTCACCCTGTACATAGCATGGGACGAGGAAGACGCAGAGGCACACTTTGAAGTCAGTGAAACATCCGAACAGATCATTTTTGTCGAAACCAATCAAACCCATACTGAGAAACGAACTTGAGAATTTTCTCTTGAAAAACTGTTTCAGATTCGAATTTAAAAGAAAATAAGAAAACGTAGACAACTTACTGAACGTTGACTGTGGCGCGATATAGAAATCAAACAGTCCAAAGTTTGCGAGAGAGTTTTGTCTTATCTATGTCGACTGACCTACTAACCTACATTACCAATACTACCATGTTAGCTGATTTATTACCTTGTAATAGCTTTACCTTTTCTTACTCTTGTGTGATAGGATTGTTTGATGGCGAATTCACCTGATGCAAAGAGTTTGCCAATATAACTCCACAAAAAGCTCAAGCTTTACCATTTAGAGTTTAGTTGGGAACCAGAAGTCAACTAAATTTACCTCATTTAACCAATCAATTTTCAAAGCAATTCGTGATATAACACAGCAACGAGAACTAAGTTTTTCGATAAAAGCACAACTCAAATTATTACTAACTCCAAAGAACGTTTACCTCGATAAAAGCTAAAACTAAAACCAATAGTGTTAAGAAGGAAACTGTGGGCAAATATAAGAAGGTCAATATATTTTGTCGACAAAAACGGTTCTTTTGGGTTGTTAAGAACAAACATAATATTATACGTCTTCTCGATCAAAGTTTTTCAGAAAATTCCTGCTGAGTGCTCAGGTTGAATTGGACATTTTATTCCACTCCTTATAAGTAGGACCAATTGAACGGTTTTATGTCAGTCGGGGCAGAGCAGTTTTTAATTTGAACTACATATTTTTGACATTTTTTGTCTGTTTGTAATAGAGATATACTCAGTGCTCTCCATTTTGATTTTTTTTTCAATTACAAAAACAACTTTTATTCAAAGTAGAAGTAATTAATATTGTTATTTAACTCACCTGCGGATTTGAGGGGGAAGGTGCTGGGGTTGCGGACGCAGAAAATTTGGTCAAAATGGGGTCTTTATAGTGATTTGGGAGAACTAAGAAAATTAATTTGGTCGACCTAAAAGTTGATCGACAAAGTTTTTGGAATCCCCCTTGAGAAAATCCTAGATACGCCCTTGATTCGACTGCATAGTTTTATAGTCACTAATTTTTTCCCTCCCACGCACCATTATTCTGACTATGTCTCGCTATTTAATCACATTGGTATACCAGTAACTCAACTACAACGCTACCCGCACTGCCAAAAATGGTTTCGGATCGATTTTTTTTTAAATCGATTTAAATCGATTTTCTTGAAAGTTTTGTATCGATTCAAGTATCTAAAAATCTATTTTAATTGATTTGGATGGATTTTCAGACTGGATGGATTTTCTTGAAAGTTTTGTATCGATTCAAGTATCTAAAAATCTATTTTAATTGATTTGGATGGAATTTATTTTTCTAACACGGCGAAAATATTTGAGCTTGAAAATATGCTCATTGTAACATGAGCTTGACAATATGCTCAAAAAAAATTGTCCTTGTAAACCAATTTATGGGCAAAAACCTGTGTAACAAATCAAGAAATTGGTCAAATTGAATCAAGTTTTGGTCTCAAGAATAGGCAACTAAATCTTAAAAAATCATGAATGTAAGCGAATCAAGAAAAACTAATAAAAAAACGACTCAATTAAAAAGTCACTTATGAAACGACGCAGATGAAAAGGGTCAAAATAGATAAAATTTTTGAACTCAAACTAGGTAAGGAAATTATAGAATATTATTGACATTTGTAAATTATTGGTCTTTTTTATTATGCTACTATACGCTATGGATGTATGGGCAAAAAAATGCAATGCAAATTCGAAGCTGATGAAATTCGAATGAAAAAATTTGATATAAATCGATTTTAATCCGTTTTAATCCACCTAAAAAAATTAAAACTGGAAAAAATGAATTTAAGTCGATTGTAAATTGATTTGGATCGATTTTTTAGCAGGGATTCAAGATCGATTTAAATCAATTTTAAATTGATTCAAATCAACTTTTATCTTTTGTATTTATTTTTTGTACTTTTTTCATACTAAAATTGATCCTATTCCATTTTTGTCAACGCGGCTAGTTTTATTATCCGTACAAAACTAATGAAACTTAAAAACTGAAACGCTTTTATTTTCTATTTGAGTTGAGTTTGGCCCAAAATAATAAAACCAAAACTTGCTCAAAATTTTAGCACACTTAATTTTAATGAATTTAGATTGATTACTTCTCTCGAAATTGATTACAAGGATTGACTTAAGAATTGTGAATAACTAAGAAAGTCTAAATGCGGTTGGAATTGCTTGATTAATTTTAAATGTAGCTAATGCGCGAATTTTGCACAATTTGAGTGATATTTGCATTACAGAGTTTGTCGCTTGTCAGAAATGTTTTCAACAAAGATTATTCAAGACCAGTTAGGGAACACTTGAAAATTTGGGGACTCTGCCCTTATACATGAGCAGTGTTCGATAATAAGAAGGCAATTGATTACCAATTTGAATGGTTTTCATCTAAAACGGCACTACTAGAACCAATAAATTTGTTTTTACCCATGGGCTCAAGTTGTTTGTGCTTCGCCGAAGATTATTATGAGTATCTAGGACAGGCATTTAATAATCTAGAAAATGAAAAAAAAACTGAAAAAAGCTTGAGCAATGGCAAGTTTTGAGCCCGATTTTACCCCAAAATTGCTCACAGTTTGTTAGATGAGGTACAAAATTTTCAGTTAAATTTGAATTTCGATCAGATCACGAAATTGATCTGAAAAAACTAGCCATGTTGATAAAAAAAATTGTTTTTAAAACTTGGAACAGAAAAAGTTTTCCGTTTTTCTGAAGATTTGATTGTAAAATTTTTGAAAAATTTATGGATAAGTACAAATACAAATACCGTTTATTGTTTAAGAAGTGATGCTAATTTTAGGTATCCAAGTTATGGGTGGACAAAACAAAAAATGCAAAACCTTCCATCTATGCTATGGCTTTTTAGACGACATGATGTTCGGCAAATAAGACAACAGGATATTAAAACGACCAACATTTTCATGGGCCTTCAGGACGACAATTCTCCATATTAAATTTCTGAGCAAAAAAAAAAAATTAAAATCGAACAATTCTGTTATATGTTTCAACGATCATTTTTCGTCTTAATGTCTTGTCGTCCTAATTTCCTTGTTTCTGATTTCACGCCCTGAGAGGGTAGACTGTGAAATAAAATTATGACTCGGATGCCTATATAAAGCTCCCGCTGAAACTAAGAAATAAGCTGTGTTCCAATATTCAACACAATAAAAACAGACTAGTTAAGCCCAAACTAATGACTTGATTGAAAAAAAAAATTTGAATACCAATAGGCTAATACAAATACTGAACATTGAATTAGAAAAATACTTAATATGACATGAAAGTTTTTGATTTTTTCTTCACTTCCTATGCCCCATAATTTTTTAAGTACTCAAAGATTTTTTCTGAATCTGGTTAAGCCCTAAAAAAATTTCTTGTCCCTTTCGATTTTGAGGGATTTAATTTGCCGTTTTATTAACACCAAATATTTTGTTGAGAAAATTTAAGCGTTCAAACTTTACATAAAAATATTAAACATAAGCTTGTCGCACTAATTTCCATGAGTTCTTTTTTGATAGCGTTCCGAAATTTTTAATTTATCCACCTTTTCATAACGCATATGATCACGGTCATTTTACATGAAATCGACAGGATGCAATTCTAGGAAGCCTTTTTGATTACTTCTTTAATAATTTTTAATTAAATAGGAGGGAGACGCTTGATCATGTATAATTCCCCCCCCCCCCCCCCCAAATTGTTGCTTTTATCACTCAACTTTTTTGGGAACTTGTAAATTGCTAATTAGTCTTCCAACCAGACGAATGTCACTCTAGCAGTAGGAGGCAATCCATGTGCCAGATCTTCAGCATGTGACATATCGTGGTACGCACTCAATGAGCTCTCCCTGACATTAGTGTATTCCAAATCTGAGAAAAAAACTAGCAAATCACCACGCAATTTGTTTGATTTTTCGTAAAAAATCAAGCGAATAATTTCTCAGATCAAATGTAGGGTTTTTGATTAGGATGGATTCCTTGCTAGTATACCGTTCCTGTACCCTCGACGGCTCGTTCAAATTATAACAAATAGTTTGCAAGTCGCTCATTTTTCTGCAAGTTCCCTTTGACCAGATGCCAAGTTGTTTGCCATCAGCAGCAAGTCCACACTCACATTCTCATCTTTAACCTGATTGATGATATCTTTCATCTGCTGTGGAATATCCATGATGTGAAAAAAAAACCTTTTAAATACTATAAGTAACAGTAATTGAACCAATAAAAAAGTCGTTCAGTTAATTCAGAAAACAACTCAAGTTTAAATTCGGCCGCTGAAAATTTTCAGACAGAAACTCTGCTTTTGAAGATCAAAAAAGCAACTGTTTGTAGCTATGTTTCATTTAGATGTTATATCATAGATATACTCGAAATAACGGGTCGTTGAAAGCTTATCATTACGTTTTGCTACGACCAATTTCTTCTAAAATACTCATTAGTTTTTTTTTGTCAGAGAAAAGTTATATCTTTGAAAAAATCCAAATTCTCAAAAGTTTTCACTTCTCATTTATTTATAGAAACAACCAAGGTTTTGCTGAAAATCTAATTATTAAAATTTGCATTTCTACCCGCATCATCATTATATATTCAAGGAATATAAAACACATTTCTCCAGCTTTAGCTGGGCCCTAAGTGTCTTCATTCTGGTTCACCTTTTTTTCAACATATTTCAATTTCTTGTTTTGACTTGTTTTTTATGATTGCGTTGTATCACAGGTGGTGCAAAGCTTTGCTTCGCCTCTGAGTTTAAATTAAATAGAGTTTGATATCTGAGACGTTGAATACTTTTTGACAGGGAAATCAACTGAATCATGCAATCGGGTACTAGATTTTTTCCGTAGGCAACTTTGTTCACAGGATGACTAAAATTTGGTCATCTGTATGTTAGTTTCTACTCATGTTGCGCGTCGAATAGCTGTAGTTCTATAACTGGTTTCTGAAGAAGTTTTTTGGTTTGCAGCTGAAAAACTTTTAAGATATAAATTGATTTTTTGTCAGCATTATTGATTTTTTCCCAATTTTTGTCGGCTTTCTTGTCGGGTGTTAATTTTTGTTTATTTTTTGAAAACTCTTTTTCAATTTTTTAGGGTAAAAATAGTTTATAGCTTTCTCGTTTT